AGTATATGAGGGAAAAGCCTCATATACAAGATATGCTTGTTTTGATGATGTTAAAACTTAGCTTCATAGAAAAATCATTGTTGGGCGTTATCACCACGTTGCATGTGCATACCTTGTTTCTCATAATTAAGTTGCGTGCATAAAATATCTCGGTTCTTGTATATAGAGTTGTCAATACATGTGTCATCTGAGTTAAACTTCATTGGAGTCATCAAAAAGAGTCAAGAGTATGAAATTAGGCATTTCTAGAAATTCTAGGTTTATGAGTCGACCAAAGCTCTGTTCCGGTCGACTCATACTATGTGTCTAGTTTTTGTATTTTTCTCAGGTATGCTCGCGTCGACCTACCGGTCGACTCATACTATTGACTTTTTCAATTGTCTAAAAATTCAGGCTATGCATCGACGCATGCCTTGTCCCGGTCGATGCATGGCTGTGTGTTTTGTGAAATCTTTTCCTCCGGGTTAACTCAGGTCGACCCTGCACTCTGCATAGGTCGACCGCTCGCTGTTTTATGCTATTTTTCTGTTATGTCTATTATTTTTGGAAAGTGGTTTTATCAGTTATAACAATTTTGTCTGGTATATATATTCAATTGCTCTTTTCACTTCAAAACATTGAGAAAAACAAGAAAAGTGAAATAGGTGTCAATTCAGTTCTCATCATCTTCATCTTCTTCATAACATACCACAACAATCACACACAATAATCTTTGTTGTGCATTATGCATTGTTAGAGGTGGTAACGTTCGAAGCCGCTGATTGGGTAATCCGATTTGGGTTGAGGAATTGACAGGTTTTTCTTGAATAAAACCTCTAGGGTTTTGTCTTTCAAGATTCTTTGAATTTGGGTTTTTTTGCATGATTCCTCTTAACACATATTCATCCGAGTGAAGGTAATCGAGGAGCGGTTGGTTCCATCGATTTAGTAATGGTAAACGGGGGATGGTGAAGGAGGGTTTCAGGTTCGACACGCGAGTGATTGGAATTAGCCGAGATAGGTTTTGACGGAAGATTGTTCAAACGTAGAGCTGCAATCAGAGGTTTATTCATAAGTTGTCGAAGGACTTGATTCGACTTGAATCAAAGGGCAAGAGGAGATAGCATCTACAACAACAAGGGTGTTCGTTTGTTTGATTGCTATTCAATTCTTGTATATACATTCTACAACAGGTTAAATTTATATTATAAGGTCTTAATTCTATTATTAGAATTGAGGGCAGGCGTACCCCGAAGCGAGGACGATGGGGGAACTGCCTCAACAAATCATTGTGTCTTTTGCCTTACGTTTTTACATTGCTTAATATTTGTGTGGTTTTAGTGCAAACAAGTATATCAATCTAGGTCTGTTTTGAGTAGTGCTAAACTGATTTTGACTCTAGTACATTAGTTGATTGTACAAGGAAACTAGAGCAACCCACTCAAAGCGAAATTAACTTGTAGTGCTCCGCACGCCAAGTGTTTGATAAATTGTCTGAACCAAAAGCCTTGTGTGATGTCCTTTTATTGTAGTAATATTTTAAGGCATTGGAACTATTCATACCACATAGTGAGTTAAATCAAATTGATAGTTTGACTAACATAGTAATTCTCATAACTCGTTATCCGATTCGATAGACTAAAACACATATCCGGTTTTCTATTAACGGTTCGTTATAGACGGTATTTTTCCTCGGCCGCTTTCGCAAATTAAACAGTTTTTAAAAACCAATTTTATTGGTAGCACCGACTCTTTTTAAGCAAGCGATCTATTCAACCCCTCTTCTAGATCCGCGCCATCGTCTAACATATGCTATGTTGGCTAAGGTTGGAGTTCATTATTGCAATAGAAACAATGTTGACTTAGGATACTACATGTGGAAAGTACTATAGAGCGTGCTCTCTTAACATCATTGATCCTAGTGATTTCAACATAGTTGGGTCAGTTCCTAATAACCAGTAAAAGTAGTTAAGATATTTGAAAGATGTTGAAAGAGCGGGAATTAATTTAACACAGACGGTTACTCGAAGACACGTGGAAACTCGTCATAAGAAACGAATGCATGGGATTGAAATGTGTCATGATAGGCTTAGTCGACCGTTCTTAGGTAGTTATTTTATAGTAGTATATAAAGGGACTCATGTTCATATTGTAAGGGGTCCGCGATTATACTCATATTTCTATAAACTCAAAGTCTTAGCGTATTTGAGAAATGAGTGAGAAAAAATGTACGTATGCATTTCACCATTTATAAATTTCAAGCATTTTTACATTCAAGTATTTTGTCTGCATTAAGTTACATTTCGATTTTGCATTACAATTCTTGTCATTTTACTTTATCCTGCATTTCGATTTCTATCACTTTCATCTTCAAAACCTTATATTTCAAGTCCTATTCAAAGTTGCATTGTTACTTTTCAAATACTACCCTTCAATTTCGACAGTAAAATGTTGCTCAAAAGTTTAAATACACACAAATATGTTCCAGAATATTTTTGAGTTTAATCCCTTAAGTATTAATAGAAACTTTTTTTGTTTACCAAATTTCTAAGTAAATAGGGACATACATGATACAACACAACATACATAAACTAAGTACGTTTGTATCAAAAGGTTATCCATAGTGTTAGAGCTTCATGCTGATCTAGTGGAATATCTTCATTATCATTTATCTTATTTTGCATTTATAAGTTAGTTGAACCGTTAATTTCTACCAACACTTTGATTAGTTTATTAGCTATCAGTGTCAACCATCAATAATAAGCTATAAGCTATCAGTCATCAATCATCATCTGTAAGGTATAAAGTACCGATTAACTTATCAACCAACCACAACTTTTTACCAAAGAGACCCTATCTGATTATATGATACGTGATATCAAAATTTATATCCAAAATCCATATTTTATGTCAAGTGGTTAACAGATCAATCCCCACACGTGCGAATAATTTGTATCCACACTTGTTTTAGAACAAGGGATCACACACCACATAGCCAACATTTTGTTTTATAATTTATAATTAATTATTTATAGGGACGGGTAATTAGAAGTCGTTACTTATGAATTAACGCACTTAGAACACATAATTTAACTTTTAATTGGCCTAAGGAATTAGGGAATTACCGTATAAGTTAGTGATATGAACACTAAGGAATTCAGTGCAATGGTCTTGTTAGTTCGCAGTCAGACAATAAATAATTTAAATTCAATAAATATACAGTTCATTAACAGGTAAAATAAGGGGATTTGATATAAAATACCTAATCGCTTTTCTCGTCTTGAAGTAAATTCTTTTAGTTTTCTCGTTCATGTTTTAGAACCGCTTTTCTAATGAACCCCCTCTTTAATTGCTTAAATTTATGCATAATTATCTTGTTAAATTACAATCCTCGTGGAAATGATTTTCTTAATTATTAATTTGACACTATCGACACACTTGCCCAAAGGTCATCAACTACCATTACGAGCGAATGTAGAAAAAAGTTGTTGAATAACATAGTCAACCCAAGAAGCAGAAGCATCCTCTTGCAATTATTGACTAATGATGGGTACCTTTTCATTTGACTACCAAAAATGGTATGTTGTAGGAATACAAGTGACGAAAAAGCAAAGGTAACGTCTCAAGAAACTATAAAAGTGACTCCTTATGGGTCGCTTAATGATTTACCTAAAGAAAGGTAATAAACATTATCGACAACCTTGATTTCCTCAGAAAAACACTCAAGTACTTTGATTTCCAATATGATATAACCTACAAAAGACATTTAAAGCATGAAACACAATTAAGGCGTGAGTTACCAATGACGTCAACGACACCTCTTAGCTTTCCACTCAAGTGGATGATAGATGGAAGGAAAAAATGCTGCAAAGCCCTCACACTACAAAAAACAAAGGCAAGGGCTTTGGGCAACTATTTAGGGTCGGTCAAAGGACCTAATAGCAGCAACCCATAGAATGCAACAATCCACCAAGTCACTCGCGATGTAGGAGTACTATCCTAGGTTAGAGCACATGGGATCCGAACCCAAAAAAGATCCAACCGCTCACAACATCCTCTGCCTGAAGTTTATCAAGTTGTTATTACTATCAAGTTGTTAAAGTGCTAACCTTCAATCTCACAACCTCCAATCTCTTAACAATTCTAGTTCCTTGATAAATAGACGGTTTTTATGAACGCTAATATATGATTTATTATCTTATTTAAAAATTAATTTTATTAGCGAATGATTAATATATATGGTGTATTATGAAAATAATTTATAAATGACTTAATAATTTATTAATAATAAAAATTTCTCCTAAGTTACTATTAAAGAGTGGAATTTTCATGAAATTTGTCCAAATTTTAAAATTCGAATTCACCTATTATTATAAAATAAACAGCTAAACAAAAGTAAAAATTTATCCGAATTAACCTCATTGTAATAAAATACAAATATTGACCCAAAGAATGTGTTGGTATATCCAAAAATTGTAAATGTCTCTCATTTATAAAGTGATTTGTTGTATAATAAATGTGAAAAAAAAGTTCAATCTACTACACTAGAACATTTTTAAATTTTTATAGGAGGTATGTGATGTAGTAAACACCACCCTAAAACATATGCAAATTTTATTGGCTTTGTTCTCTCAAAAGGTAATAAGAATATAATAATACTATAACAAAACTTTAAATATGTAAATGTGAAGATTTAAATATATAACTTGCCTCTGCTTAAATAAATTAAAAAATTATTTATAATTACAGTTTAAAAAAAACAAAATTTTGAAGGGATTACATGATACTACAATACAACATTCACAGACTATAACTCAGGGGGCGAAGAATTTCCACAATTAGGCCGCCGGCTAATCGCAATTAAAACTCAGAACAAAATAAAATGTAGGTAACAAAAAAAGCACATATAGAAATTTTAAAGCAGAATTGTAATTTTTATTAAAATGGAAAAATATTCTTCGTATATGAATTGTTTCCAACATGCTACACAAATTTTAAACACACAGCAACGAAGACGAAGATTAAAGGGACACACAAAAAAGCTTAGGTTTCAACTCCGGAGACATGATATTCTTCTGAATGTCATAATCAACCAGATTGCGACTATCCTTCAATTCCTTCCCATAGAAAATTAGTTTCTGTTTGTCTGCGGGAATTCCCTCTTTTTCCTGAATTTTCGTCTTCACATTCATAATTGTATCACAACGTTCTACCTCCAAAGTTATGGTCTTTCCATTAGAGATCTTAACAAGAATCTCCATACTCCAAGAATGCGAATATTGCCCCAAAATCAGATAGACAATGGATCCCTCCTTGATGTTATAATCCTCTAGGGTCCTTCCATTTTCAAGCATTTTCCCTGCAAACATAAGCCTTTGTTGATCTCGTGGAATACCCTCCTTATCCTCAATCATAGCTTTCACATTATCAATTCTTTCTGAACTCTCAACCTCCAAAGTCCTAGTTTGGACAATATTGTCAGTCATTGATTTCACCAATATTTGCATCTGCATACATGTAAACATAGTAAACATCATAACAGAAACCCTAAGCAAAACAATAGTCTGAATTGAAGAAGAATAGATAGAAAACGGTGACTTACCTTGAATCGAATAGCTGAGTATGAAAGACACAGATAGAGGAGTCGTACTCATATATAGGTATTTCATTAGCTATATGGGTATTAGATTAGAAATTAAATATTTTATATTCAAAATCAAATATTTTGTTTCTAAAACAAATCTTTTACATAAATCAATTATTCCTTAATAGTATATTTATATATGCATATTAAAAATGTTTAGTTTAGATATAAAGTATTTGATTTTGGATATATAAATTTTTAATTTCTATTATAATACATATAGGAGGACAAGAAAAATAGAAAACAATAAATTTGTGGAAAAAAATTATTTTTTGTATTTAATTTGTCTGATCTGTTATTTTTACACCCTTTTTGTACTAGTAGTATATTACTTTTTTTACAAATAAAATAGAGTACTTAAAAAATTGAAATATCTACCCAAATAAAATAGAATAGTTTTAGAAATTGAAATATTATTTTGTTTTACAAATAACCACTTGATATACTTTTAGGTATAAAATTATATACCGAAAATCAAATCTTTTATATGCAAAACAATTTTGATTGACGGTTATTTTTCTTGTCCTCTTATAATCAACCGCTTGATTGATTATATGTATTATAATAGAAATCAAGAATTTATATATCCAAAATAAAATATTTTATATCTAAATAAAATATTTTACTTAAGTCAATTATTTCCTAGAAGATTATTTAAAAAATTGAAAATCAGACCACTAGTCATTTTTAAATTTTAATATGCATATATAAATAGAATAGATTTGAAGGAATATTTAATTTATTATATACGATTTGTTTTGAAAATAAAAGATTTGATTTTAGGTATTAAAATATTTACCCAAAATCAAAATTTTAATATACAAAACAATTTTAATTGATGGTTGTTTATGAAAAGAAAAAAAAATCAAATTAAATGCAATTTATATTTTATTTTATTTTGAAAAAGATGTATTTAAAAAAAAAATAACTGAAATAAAATTAATTTTTTCTTATAATTTATCAAAAGAATAATAATTATTTTTTTTTTATTCTTAAAAGTCGTTATAGAGGAACACTATACAAATAATATATTTAAGAAAAACGATTTCATCTCACATAAAAAAAATAAAATAAGAGGAATAATACATGTACACACCATATTTTAGTTTTCTTTTTAAAAATAACAATCTATTTTCTCTGTTTAATAAACTCATAGATAAATTAATTTAGGATACATGTTTTGAATTTCAACATCCACGATTAATTTAAGAAAAGATGTGTCTTGAAACATTATATAATATCTTGTGTTATTGTATGTTATTATATGTTGTTGTTGATTAATGTTCTCAGAACTTCATAATTTGTTGTTGTTTTTGTTTATTATATCTTGCATTTTTTATCCTTTTGAATTGTTTTTCGTCTTCTTTTTCCCCCCGTCACTGTTCGTGTTCTTCTCACCCAGTTTCTTCAAGTTCCCATCAATTCCTTCCATTAAAATGTCTTAGCAGTTAGGTGTTAGCCACGGAAGCAGGTCCTCAAGTCGTTCAAGGTACGTATGCAAGTGTGGTCTCGACGCTCCATTGATGACGACATTGATTGATTCGAACCCAGGCCGTCGTTTCTATGGTTGTGGGACGTATAAGATTCAAGGACACAAAAAATGCTCTCATTTTGCTTGGTTGGATGAGGAGATAGATCCTATGGTAAAACAAAAAATTTCTTCACCGGTAAAGAACTTGAATGAAGAGAAGGAGATGGTTAACACCTAAAAAGCCAAGTAGGACGAATTGAAGTTGAAGTGAAGATCCTGAAGAAACAATTGAAGATTACCTAGATTTTTTTTATTTGTAGTGTTCATTGTATTTTTTGTAACAACAATGACGAAATAGGTTATAGTTGGTTAAGTTTGTATGTTGAGTGATGGTGTGATAGTTGATTAGGTTTGTATGTTTACTGATTAAGTTATAATTGATTAGGATTCATGTGATGATGTTATGGTATATTGAATATGATACAATTATGTGATATTATGAATATGATACAATTAATATTATTGCGATAACTTTATCACACATGTGAGTTGTATTTTCTACTGTGATATGGGAAACAATAATACAAATTAAAAAATGGAATTAATTATAAAAGCACGATAATATTTGTTAATTCAACATAAAATTTAACAACAGTTATATATCATAACCGTTATAATATCTCTTGTGCCGTTCAGAAAAAAAAATATCAAAACGGCGTAGCTGAGAATCAAATCTATGACCATTATTTTTATAAAATCAGTTGTGATAAGGCACGCGCTTTCCAATTTATTACAACGGTTACTGGATCGTGATTGTAAGTATCATATATACAACCACATTCTACATAACAACATCTGAGCCCGCGTGATTATATATTTTTCCCAACTGTTGTTAAATGAGTTTTCCGTAGTAGTGTAGGAGGAGAATAATAGTATGATAAAGCCTCCAATGTTATTGACATTGAACTTTGGAAATCAGATTTTAACAAAGCTACAAAAGTAAGTGGATAAATCTGTAGTTTATTCGATTAATCAGTGGCTAATATATAGCTATCTTACAAGCAAAAGGAAATAACTAACTCTACTCTTTACATGCCTACAGAGTAGTAAAATAAGTAACAAACCCTATTTCTCCTAAAGAATATGTCTTATTCAAACAACCTAATAAAACAGTAGACTAAAACAAATACTAAAACAAATACTAAAACAAATACTAAAACACTAATACGTGTCTACCTAACATTCCCTCCCTTAAACTAAAACACATGTATTTTAGTTTAACTCCGACACACTAACCATTCCAAGCATACCACGAAGTTTTTCAAACTGTTCAAGTTTGAGTGGTTTTGTCATCAAGTCTGCTACTTGCTCCTGTGAGTTGCAGTACTTTAATTCTACAACACCTTCATTCACTAAATCTCTTAAAAATGAAACCGCACATGAATATGCTTACTTTTTCCGTGAAAACCCGGATTCTTAGCCAACTGAATGGCAGAGCTGCTGTCACATTGAATTATAGTTCCTTCAACATGCTCCACTCAAATATTTCTCAAGATTCTCTTTAGCCATATACACTGACAAGCACATAGAGCTGTTGCGATATATTCGGCCTCGGTAGTTAATAAAGTCACTACAGGCTGTTTTTTTGACAACCAGGATACAACTCCAGATCCTATCATGAAAGCATATCCAGATGTACTTCTTCTATCATCAAGATCACCCGCATAGCCACTATCTGTGAATGCCAAGAGTTTTGAACAACCTTCATTTTTTGTGTAGAAAATGCCTAGCTCAGTTGTCCCCTTTAAATACCTCAAAATTCTTTTGGCTGCCAACCAATGTGACATGGTTGGTCTAGACATGTACCTGCTTATGAAACTTACAGCATATATTAAGTCAGGACGAGTTATAGTTAAATACATGAGACTTCCAACCATTTGTTTGAACAATGTTGGATCAACTTTAGTTCCTCCTTCATCCTTTGACAACTTTGTTCCCGGTACAATTGGATTTTTCACACTATTGCTATTTTCCATTTCAAATCTTGGTAACACTTCTCGTGCATACCTTCTTTGACAAATAAAAATACCATTTGAATTTTACAGCACTTCCATTCCAAGGAAGTGTCTCATTCTTCCTAAGTCGTCAAACTCTATCATCATTGACTTTTTAAATTCCATACACATGCTCACATCACTTCCAGTAAATATTAAGTCATCTACATAAAGGCTAATTATTAAAATTTTACCTCCTTTTGACTTGGTGAACAAAGTATGCTCACTCAAACATTTCTCGAAGCCTTCACGCAGAAAGTAAGCCTCAATTTTGTTGTACCACGCCCTTGGCGCTTGGTTAAGGCCATATAGAGCCCTTTTTAGCTTGTAAAACTTCCCTTATTCTCCCTTCTTAACAAACCCTTCAGGTTGTTGTACAAATACTTCCTCCTTGAGTTCACCATGAAGGAAAGCGCTCTTTACGTCAAGCTGAAAAACCTCCCAGCCACACTGTGCTGCTACTGCAAGTATTGTTCGAATGGTATCGAGCCTTGCCACTGGTGCAAATACTTCGGTGTAATCAACTCCATACCGTTGTACATAACCCTTAGCAACCAATCTCGCTTTATGTTTCTTGACATCCCCATTTTCATTAAGTTTGGTCTTAAAGACCCACCTAACTCCAATAGGCTTGGCATCCTTAGGCAAATCCATCAATTCCCATGTTTGGTTCTTCTCTATAGCTGTCATTTCTGCTTTCATAGCCTCTTTCCACTTCTTGCTTTTGACTGCCTCTGCAAATGAAAATGGATCATTCTCTGTTACCATCATCATTGCATGCATATCTTCTTTTTCTTCTTCTTCTGAGAAGCCTTCTCTTGTTTCGTAGTCCGCCATCCATACCGGTTTTGTTCTGACTCTTTCACCCCTCCCTTCATCTGCAACTTCTTGAATGTTTTCTTCATTTTGTGGTGAATAATCGGAAGTAGTATTTCTGCCGATGACCTCCACAATATTATCCCCGCCGACATGCTCTTTTTCACTTTCATTATCATCTTCTAGCACATCCAAATTCAGTTCTTCCCCAATTCTAGCTCTCTTCTTCTTCAAATTGAACATCGTTGCTGATGATGATCTTCTTTGTGGTTGGATCATATAATCTATAGGCCTTGGATTCATTGCTAACACCTATGAATACACACTTCTTGCTTTTGGCATCTAACTTGCTCCTCTTTTGGTCTGGAATATGAGCGTGTGCTATGCAACCGAACACCTGGAAATAAATTGTTGTTGGTTTCACTCGACTCCATGCTTCCTCTGGAGTTTTCTCTTTTACCGCTGCGGTCAGACTCCTATTTTGAACGTGAACACACCAATTTACAACTTCTGGCCAAAGCACTTTTGGAACTTTCTTATCAGCTAATATTGAACGTACTGCATTCATGATTGTTCTGTTCTTTCGTTCGGCAACTCCGCTTTGTTGTGGAGTGTATGGTGCTATCAACTGCCTGCTTATACCACAAGCTTTACAAAATTCTCCAAATTCATTTGAGTTAAACTCACCTCCTCTATTTGTTCTCAAACAAGTTATATATGCACCAGCCTCTTTTTCAATAAATGCTTTGAAATTCTTGAATGCACTAAAGGCTTCTGATTTTTCATGTAAAAAATAAACCCAAGTTTTACGTGAAAAATCATCAATGAAACTTATGATATACCTTTTGTTACTGTTGGAAGCAGGTTTGATAGGCCCACACAAATTAGAATGCACGAGTTGAAGTTGCTTTGATGCTCTCCAAGAACTTTGTTTTGGAAATGATCCTCTATGTTGTTTGCCAACCAAACAAGTTTAACATAATTTTTCTGGAACTTTGAGCAGCAGCACACCGTCTATCATTTTCTTGTATGCAAGTGTTCTTAATCTTGTGTAACTCAAATAGCCAAATCGACGATGCCACATGTGTGATTCTTTCTCAGAGGAAAGTTCAGCCTGCAGACACATCAAATTTTCTTTTGCTGCCATAGATGCTAACATATAAAACATTCTATTTCCACTCATGTTAGTTTGCATAATTAAACCTCTTTTAGGATGATAAACTTTACAAGTCCCTTGCTGAATTATAATAGCTAAACCCTTCTCCTGAAGTTGGCCTATGCTCAACAAATTACTTTTCAACTCAGGTATGTAAAAAACATTTGAGATTACCTGAATAATACCGTTCACTTGAAGCCGTACACTCCCTTTAGCTACCACTGCCATTCTAGTGTCATTCCCAAGCTTCACAGTTTGTTTAAATCCTTCCTCTAGATCTGAGAACCATTCTTTATTTCCGGTCATGTGATTCGAACACCCAGAGTCAAGAAACCAAACTTCTTCTATTTTGGTTTGATCAGCATCAACATAAGACATCAGCAAAACCTCTTCTCCTTCTTCTACATATTCAGCGTAGTTAGCCCGTTTCTCCCAATCAGGACACTCATATTGAAAGTGTCCCAACTGATGACATTTGAAACATTCTACAGTGGCTTTATTCATAAATGACCTCCCTCTTCCTCTACTTCGACCCCCTCGGAATGAGCATCTGCCCCGTCGTGGCTTGTTGTCATAAGAAATTCTTAATGCTTGTTCTTCCTCCTGATTCCCATGTATTCTTTGCTCTTGAACAAGTAAACTTCCATGGAGCTCATCAACAGTCATAGTATCTATGTCATTTGACTCCTCAATTGAACATACAACATAATTGAACTTGGGAGTCAAAGATCTCAGAATCTTACCCACCACTGTGCTTTGCTTCATATCTTCTCCATTCACTTTCATTTTATTTATCACCATGAGGGTTCGTGAAATGAAGCTATCGATCTTTTCTCCTTCTTTCATAACCATCATTTCAAACTCCTTCCTTAATGCCTGCAACTACACTCTCTTTACTTTGGTTGATCCATGGTACTTCTGTTTCATCGAATCCCATATCGCCTTTGATGTTCTTTTGTCAAGAATGGTTTCCATGATCTCCCTGTCAATCGCTTGAAAGAGATAGTTCTTAACTTTCAGATCTTTGAGTTTTGTTTCTTCGACACTTTTCCTTTGAGCCTCACTTGCCGTCGAAGTCCCGATTGCTGGTGCTGGAATACCTTTATCCACCAGGTTCCACATCTCTTTGCTCCTCAAGAAATTCTCCATCAACATTGACCAATGATCGTAATGGCCGTCAAATCTTGGAGTCACAAAATTCTCAGAGGTTATCATGTTTCACTCACTCTCACACTCCTATTTAGTCAGCCCCTTTTGAAAGCTCTTGATACCAAATGTTGGAAATCAGATTTTAACAAATCTACAAAAGTAAGTGGAGGAATGTGCAGTTTATTCAATTAATCAGTGGCTAATACATAGCCATCTTACAAGCAAAAGGAAATAACCAACTCTACTCTTTACATGCCTACAGAGTAGTAAAATAAGTAACAAACCCTATTTCTCCTAAAGAATATGCCTTATTCAAACAGCCTAATAAAATAGTAGACTAAAACAAATACTAAAACACTAATACGTGTCTACCTAACAATTGAACTTTAAAGACTTGAATACAATTACACGTATGTTTGTCTATTTATAGGTGTTTGAGGATGTTTTTAGAATAGAACTATCTAGGTTTTTGTTTGTCTTTCCTATATTACATTAACATAGAACTTTCTAAACTATAAGTTAATCTAAGAATTATTAGAACAATCTAAAAACATGTAGAAACTTTAAACTATTTTAGTTTTCTCTAAATTTTGTCATTTATTTTTACTAGAATGTTTTAAAAATGTACATCAATTTCATCAAAGATAAATATATCCAAGATTTTGACATTTATCAAAATAGATCATCCGTGAAAACCAGTGACCAAGCATGTTCATTATTCCCCATAGCAATGTGCATTATCCGCATATTATCAGCTTAACTTAATTGCAATTTTGGTCCTTCTATTTTCATTTTTTTTATAGTTTTAATCTCTCTATTTTAAAATCTAGAATTTTTGTCCTTCTATTTTTAATTTTTTTGAGTTTTGGTTCCCCTATTTTAAAATCCAAAACTCAAAAAAAATGAAAATAAAAGAACAAAAATTTCAAATTTTAAAATAGGGGGAACCAAAACTCAAAAAAACTGAAAACAAAGAGACAAAAATTCTAGATTTGAAAATAAGGGGATCAAAACTCAAAAAATTAAAATAAATAAAAGGACCAAAATTGCAATTAAACCTATCAGCTTTAAAATACAAAAATAGCAAACTGATTCTATTAAATTTCTGAGTTTTTCATTAATCAGCCCAATGATATGGCTGAACTGACAAATTTCCGCTGTACATCATTTGTGGGTTTAATTGTTCAAGATCCTCCTTAGATATCCAACGGTAACCACAATTTTTTACTTCCAAGTGCAAACCAAGGGGCTGCTCCACGAAAGCTCTCAATTCAATACCACTAATATCATCCAACTCATGTGTTATACGACTTATCCAATGAATAAAATTCTCCCTGCTTAAAAAAAATAGCAAGAAGTGTTCTAAATCAACTGTGACCAGATCTTTTCCAAGATGAGTGAGCATATTTGAATAGATCCCTTGGCCATGCTGTTTACTATGAAAACCAAAGACCACAAAAGGCTCTCCATCACCTAAATTAGTTGGATTATCATGTGCTACAAATGTTAAGCAGCAAGCGACGCCTATCAAATTCTTGTCATGAATAATGGGTGATGGATCCATGCTTATTGAACTACCTACATTTTGTTTGTTGAACCACTTTGGAATTTCAGTTTTGGGAATAACAATTGTGATCCGTTCTATTGGGATCTCGGATTGCATGTGCACCTGGCACCAAATATATTTAGTTATGTATCAATTCAATCACATAAAAATAAATATAAACAAAAGGAAAAAGGATGGAGTCAGAACCTGAAGGAGTTGTATCATCCAAGAAAAGGCCATTCCATAACAGCATTCCATCTCCATTAAACTCGGGCAGTCAAATATATTAAATTCAGCAGCTTTCCAAAAATATGTTGTTCTTCCTACTGGCAAGACATTCTTTGATGGGAGCTCCGGCAAATATTTCAGCTGCTTACAGTGCTCCAAGTTTAATTGTCTAAGTTTGGAAAGTTCCTTGATGCTAGGAGGTAATGTCACAAAATTGTTACCCCCCAAATATAGGGTTTCTAAGCAATGTAACAACCCAATTTCATTAGGGATTTGAAGAAGATTGCAGAAACTCAGGTCAAGATATTGCAAACATGACAAACGAAACAATGAAGGCAACAATAAACAACCTGAATCTTCAGGTTTTCGAAAAATCAAATATCGGAAGTGCGGCTCTAGAAATTTGCTGATGAACAATGTTGGTTGGTATTGGGTAGTACTTTCCTTGTTATCAAGCATCTCCAATTGTTCTGTCTGCCTTTGTATTTCTAACACCTTACTATTAAATAAATTTGGACAGCCTGAGAGAATTAGATTTTTGAGAGAACTCAGACCAAAAATGTCGTCAGAAATACTGACCAGATTTATACAATTTTTCAAACTTAATGTGGAAAGCCTTCTTAAGGTACCAATGGACGGATCAAGCTTCACGAGTTTTACACATCCATCAAGACATAGGCTCTCAAGATTTGGAATCTCCTTAAAACTTGGCATCATAATAAGATTTTTCGACTGAGAGAGATCAATACGTTTCAAATTAGGTAGACACTGCATGCAATGAAAAATAGAAAGAGACAAATTCAAAACCATAGTTTAACTTTATTTGTTTCTTTAACTAACTGCACTGAAAGTATAAATATTATGAGATAAAAACTTTTTATCTGTTCATCATAAAAAGAAAAGCAAAGACTCACGAATGACCATTTCTATAGTACCTTTGTGCCCTCCCATAGCTTCCTAATGTTGCTGTGTCCTAGGATCAGTTGAACAAGTTTATGCGGCTGAAAACTTGATGGCAAACTAGTGAAAGGATATTTATCCCAAAATAGATACCCCAATTCACTTGAAAGAAAATTGAGACTTCCTGAGAAATTAAACTGCAACAGTTTGAGCAATTTAAGGTGACTCATTTTTGCTAAAGCTTCGGCCCTCAATGTTATCTTTTGTATTTCTTCATCATTTTCTGGATCACACCGCATAACTATGGCTTCAAGGTTTTCTGTTGCCTGCAGTATTGCAAATGAAACTAAAAATTATAGATACTTCAAAGACATTAATCAATTGTCTGAAAAATGGCAAGCAATAGTTTTATTTCAATAACTATTTTACCATGTTTTTTGAGATAACATTGTGGACATCCTTGTAGTCCCACAACCTGTTCCACTTTCTTGGTTCTTTGGGTGATATTTCTCTAACGATACTCTTTCCCAGTTCTCTGAACAAAGCATGCATACAAATTATCTGGTTCTCACAGGTTATGAATGATTTATCAACGAGAGCTCTTAAACCAATTTCAGGATGAAATCCACGAATATCTAAAATTTCCTTAACGTATACATCATCGCAATCCTGAAAGAAACAAGCAATATCAAGAAATATATCTTTTTCGGTATCCTCTAGTCCATCAAAACTAATTCGGAGTACATTCATAATATCTGTCCTTGGGTTCTCTCTTAATCTTGACAATGCACTTGTCCACTCAGTGACATCTCGACCATACAGAAATGAGCCCAACACTTTAATTGCTAGTGGAAGGCCACGTGCATATTTTAGTACATCATATGTCAAGTATATGTAACCGCTCATGATATCATCACTTTTGAAAGCTTTCCTACAAAACAATTGAAGGGCACATTTACGATCCAAGAGTCGAACTCTGTATACTTCATCTACTCCATGCTCTCTTAAGATGTGCTCATTTCTAGAAATTATGATTATTCTACTCCCTGTGCCTAACAATTCTTTTTTCATGTCCAATTTATCCAGTTGTTCACCTTCATCCACATTATCAAGAACAACAAGGGATTTTATTCGACATAGCCTAGTTCGAATCAAATTAGATGCCATAGGTAGATTGCATATCTGAAGATTTTCTTCATTTAGAGTTTGACAAAGAAGTTGCTTTTGTACTCCAATTGGGCCGTGATCTCCATAAACTTTACTTACATCATCAATAAAGCAGCAAGCATCAAATTGATTAGAGATTTTAGCATACAAAGCAGTAGCAAGAGTTGTCTTCCCTATTCCACCCATTCCCCAAATCCCTAAAACTCGAACATCATCATCATCTGAGTCCGTAGTCAAAAGGTTTTCTAATTCTTCCACTCGTGAGTGCACCCCAACTATATCACTAGGTGAATTTGAATATTTGTTTCCCAATAAGCATGTTACCTCTTTAATAATTTTCCCAATCTCTGTGTATTGTGACCTAAAAGACCAGAGGAAAGAAATACCAAATCATCACATGACAGCTCGAAACAAAAACTACAAAAATTAATAGAAAATACTACTTACTTATCCTTTACATCCCATCCAGAGAGGTTCGCAACATGTGTTAGTGCTCTCCTCCATCTTTGCACTTCCTCTAAATTTGCTTTGAATCTTTCTTCAAGCTCTTGAAAAGACTTTTCAAAAACTCCGCTTTGCTTTCGTACCTCAGATGGAGTGACATCATAGAAAATAGGTAGAACAGTTTGTCCTGATACATGAATGCAATCGGCAATTTTGGCGAGTTCTTGCAAGCACCATGTGGAAGAAGCATAGTTTGTTGAGAAAACAACAATCAAAATTTGGGATCCTTCAATGGCTTGTAGAAGCTCAGATGAAATATATTCCCCTTTCTTGAGCTTTGCATCATCCCTGAAGGTAATGATACCTTTTTTATGAAGAGCACCAAAGAGGTGATCGGTGAAGTTGTTGCGGGTGTCTTCTCCTCTGAAGCTCACAAACACGTCATATTTCCATGTCTTTCTAGTTGAAGAGCCACTTTCGAGGGTACTACAAGCCATTGAAAGGCAAAACTAACTTAACGAGTTTGAAATGAAAGGTAAAAATAGATGATTATAATAGATGGAAAGATAGTAAAATAGGTTTGATAGGTAGTAATTGAACAAGTTAGAATGATGAGAGAGATGAGCAACTGTATGCGTCAACGGAGAGAAATCAAAAGTTGGGGTGGGATAATAAGTCATAAGTCAAAAAGCGTAAATCATAATCATTATCCCACCATTTCTTTCATTTATTGGTTCTTTTGATGAGAAAGCGTGTTAAAATACACTAACTATACTCTCGTAGAAAAAATAAACCAACTGATCCAATAATTAGAGTTCAACTTATCCGCTACAGCCTTATCCAGGTTAAATATTACGTGGTATATTTAATACTTCGTCTGTTTTAAAAATAAAAGTTTTTAAAAATTATTGTAGACAATTAAAAAAACAATTTAAAGAATAAATGCAACAATTTTATAAAATTTTCCTTGATTATTAATGGTTATCCATACATTATCATAAATGTATGCAGAGATTCAATATTTTGAGACTAGTGCACACTATATTAATTAAGGATAAATATTGATATAAATGATTAATGTTGTATTTTGTAAAAAAAAAAAGATGAATTCTCTGTTAGGGTTTATCTCTCCAGAGAGGGTTGGAGAAGAGTGCTGATGAAGTGGACCTGCAGGAAAGAAGTACAAAGAAAATTAAAGAGTTAGGCAATATCAAATCTTATTGGGAGATTGTCACTGGTATTTCAAATAACCTTGATGTTAACATGGAGGTGGAGGAGGAAATATTGGATGGTGACCAGCAGGATAAGGGTGAAAAACTAAAAATTGTGGAAGCTAAAGTTAGAGAGTATGATTGTCCAACTTTTGTTTTGTCTGAATTGGAAGAGAAAAAGATTTATCGCCCTTGGAGAAGAGAAGTGATAGTCAAGCTTTTGGGAAGGAAGATTGGTTACAAGGCTCTTGAATCCAGATTGAAGCGGATGTGGGTGAAAATGGAGTTATTAGAATCATTGATTTAAGCAATGACTACTATTTGGTAGCGCTCTCTCATAAGGATGATAAAAAGATAGCTATGGATAATGGTCTTTGGTTCATCTATGATCATTATTTGACGGTTAAGGAGTGGTGTCCCAACTTACAACCGGAGAAGGATTCTATTGACGAAATAGTTGTTTGGATAAGGAGTTTTGGTTTACCAGTAGAATACTATGATACTAAAGTCTTGACTTTTATTGGTAACAGAATTGGTCGTGCGATCAAAGTTGACAAGAATACTATGCAACATGAAAGGGGGAAGTATGCGAGAATTTGCGTTCAAGTTAATCTCTCGAAGCCTCTTCTTGCCCTTTTCAATATTAAGGATATGAGTTATCGCATTGAGTATGAAGGATTGCATCTTCTTTGTTTGAAATGTGATAGATACGAACATTATAAAGAAGGTTGCAGTAACATAGGAAATGAGCAAGTTCAGCAAGGCCAGGTGGAGAACGGCGGAAAAGGAAAAAACACTGTTGAATCTTCACCCAAGGTGGAGGGAGGAAATATTAAAGAGAGTGAAGATTGTCATGGAGGGTGGTTCAGAAGCAGAGAAGAAGGAGAGTCAGGTGGAGGGCTAGAAATGTTAATGATGCTGGTATTGATAATAATGAGCTAATATCTAGTATTTAGAGCCATAATGTTGAAAATGAATTTAATGTGACTAGTATTAATGAGGCTGATTCGATTGGCAATAACAAGGAAGTTAATGCGGTCAACGCTGACACATCAGAAATTGCTAAAGGGGAAGGTATTAATGAAGGAGAAACGAATAATAATGATGCGCCGATGAATTTGGTGGTTGATCTAAGCATTAAAGAGAGACGATGTGACATGAAAATTAAAGCTACGACTGTTAACAACAATGCTAATAATATGGAAATAATGATGTCAGGAGAAATAGGGGAACACAAAAATATTCTAAAAAAGTAAATACCTTAGAAACACGTGGTGCAGACGGTTTTAAAGGTAAAACAAATGGGTTAAATATAAGGGACATTTAGGGCATTATTGGAAAGGATGAAAACTGGTAAGTAACTCAATCTAAATAAGTCAATATTAAAAATAAAGAAAAGAAAGGTAGAATTAAAAGAAGTTGGTTAATAAAAGTGGAAAGAGAAATATGGATAACATGAAGGGTATCGTTCACAAGCAACACGTGCCTTTGCATGAAGTAGGAAAATTGAACAATAACTTCTCTTTTACACGTCCATCAGATACTACAGAAGTTGAAGAATTTAAAGATAATAGTGGAAGTGTTGGGGTGGAAATTGTTAACCAAGATACCTAAGAGAATGTTGTGATGAAAAGAAAGGAAGCTTTCGAGGAGCAGCTGAAGCATTAAGGATGCTGAGAATTTTGACTCTTTTCTTTCTATATTATTGTTAATGATGATTAAGAATTTAAAAAAGTTTTGCTTTGGAATTTTTGTGGTGCAGCGAGTAAAGCGTTTTACCATTATAGTAAATACTTCATAGATATGTACAAACCCTCTGTGTAAGTTATTTTAGAAACAAGGTGCGATCCGAAGAAAGTTCGTAACAACATGATGCTTTTGGGTTTGGATGATTATTTAGTGATGGAGAGTCATTGTTATGTTGAAGGAATTGGCGTGGCTTGGAAGAAGGAGCATATGACCATTAACCTCTGCTCCAAGGACATTCAGTTCATGCATATTTGCATTACGCCTCAGGCGAGGCATATCAGGTTCTTCACAACCATTTATGCCAGTGCTAACAAAAACGAAAAACAAGTCTTGTGGGAGGGCCTGCGTAATATAGCAGATAATATGCAGGAACCTTGGATGACTATTGGTGATTTTAATGAGATTTTAAGTCCAGCTGAGAAGAAAGGCGATCTCCACGCATCCTCTAGAAGGTGTGCTATTCTTAGATGGAAAAATGATAGTTGCAATCTTATGGGCTTAGGTTCTTTGGGTCTTAAGTTTACTTGGAGATGTCCAATTTACCATGGTGGTCAGAGTTAGATTTTTCTATTCAACAGGAACCTCTTAGTTAATTAATTGGGTTATGTGGCTTAATTGATTTAATGGATTATTGGTAGATATTTTGAGAAGAGAAAATATTGGAGAGAATTAGAAGAGAAATACATATAAAAGGAAAGTGGAAAGAAAAGAGAAAGATAGAAACAAAACGGAAAGAATAGAGAAAGAATGAGAAAGAGGAGAAAAGAGAAGGAGAAGAAGAAAAAGTTGGAAAAGCTCAAGAACAACTCTCAAGCATCGATTTAATTAAGATAAGGGTGTGAAATATCATTATCTATTCAATGTATGTGATTATGTATGCTTGGGTTGGATTATTGGATGTTTTTCTACAACTTCCATTTTAGGGCAGAAGTTGGTTTAGTCGATAGAAACCGAGTTTTAACGGTTAAAAATGAGAATAAGTGGTAAAGTTTAGTCGACGGATGTTAGACTAAGGTTATAGAAACTGGTTTGGCGAGAATCGGTCGGTTTTATGGAGAGTTGTGAAAGTTGGACAGTGAGGGTTTTGAAGTTCGCAAACACTCGCTAGCTTGTTTGCTAGGCGAGCTGGTCGTGAACGTTCGCTGGGCGAGCTTGTAGCGAGCCAGTAGCGAATGGTCCCAGACTTGGGCAGAATGGATTTGAGGTTCTTCGCTGGTAGCGAATAGGTAGCGAAGGTTCGCTAGGCTTTCGCTGAGCGAGCTTGGTCGCGAAGCAAGTCAGTAGCTTTTGTTTGCCTTCGCGAGCTTGTCCGCTGGGCGAACAAGTAGCGAGCACTCGCTAGGGACTCGCTAAGCGAGCGAGGTAGCAAGCGTGACAGCATTTGGTTTTCTTGTATTTTCCATTCCATGTTGATGTGTTGGTTCGATTATGTTCGGTCCTTATCGAAATGGAGAGTTATATGTTGTTGTATATTGTGTCGTGGGTAGCCTTAGGGAATGAATCCTAGATTGTTGAATCAATTGTGAGATGTAGCATTTTGTCCTATATGATACATTGTTTGATTCGAATAAGAATTCATGAGAACATGTTGAGAATGTGTGTGCATTGCTTGATAATTGTGATGATTGTATCAAATTGTAAACGTATATTGTTTGTATGCGAGTGTATGTGAATAATGCATGAGAACATATTGTGGATATGTGTGCATTAATTAATGAATATAATGTTGTTGAATATGAATATGTTGTGTGTGCAATCATGTTATAATTCTTAAAGAGATGAATTATTTGAATGCATGAGATTAAGATGCGAGAACGGTCTTAAGTGCATTTGGTGGTTGATTGCATATGCATCATTTAGTCAAGAGGCAATGCTTGCTAGTTTCGTGGAGACTAGTGACTTGTCCCAAGCCTAGAAGAGTGGATTTGAAAGCTTAGAGGACGGTCTTTTTGTGGTTATCGGTCTAGAAGAGTGGACCCGGTTTAATGTAAAAACCGAAAAATGATAACAAGTGTTGGTACCACATGGCATTGAGTTGCATTGAGTTGTGTTGAGTCACATAGCATAAATGTCATTGTTATATGAAAAGTGCTTGTGTGTGTGTGGATGGTTGATTTGAGAATTATGGATACGTGTATGATGAAACATGTTTTGTGATTATCCATATATGTGTTTACATGTTGTGAAATGCATGACGAAATGGAACATGGTGAGAAATGTGGATTATGTATATTCTATTTTGTGTGTGTATATATAATTATATGAATTGATTATTATGATAATATTTCTCACTCTTATGCTGTTTCATAATGCTCTATGAGGCATTGCAGATTAGGTTGCTGGAGGTCCTTTTTGTGAAGTATAGCTTCATTCTTTTGTCGGTCAGCTCTGATATGTAGCACCGGGTAGTTAGGCTGTATAGCATTCTTTTGTGATGCATTTGTGAATGTACCAGCTGATGATGTTTTGGTAAAACATGAATGATTATTGTGAACCAAACTTGATGATATGTAATTATATGACGACATGTTTTAAGT